AACCAAATTTCACTAAAATTTTAAAAAATGATATTTTTTTCTTGTTCAAGCCCGAATTTCACATTTTACAAAACCCTTCAAATTTTATCAACATACAAGATTTATTTTTTGTAAACTTTTAAATTCTTTTATATATCTAATCCACCATATAAATACTCAAATATTTGAATGAGATATAATTATTTGAGGATTATAAGTGAACTAGAGGTTAAATTTACTTAATCAAATATACATAAAGTTAATTAAATCAAGAAAAAGTTGAGAAATTTAAATCACATATAATCCAAATTGAATGGACCAAAAGTTGAATCATTAGAGTTCGGGAGAGTTAGGATATATGCATGATAATTTAAGTTTGATCATCATTACTATCATTGTAAATATATAAAAAATGGGTCAAAAGTTTATTAATTTTTGTAAGTTTTTATTTTTTTTTTGCTTAATTACTTTTGGTCCCTCAATTTTTAAAATTTATTCAATTTAGTCTCTCTTCTATTAAAAAGTTTAATTTGGTTTCTTAATTTTCTCAAATGATCCAATATGATCATTTTTGTCCCAATGAACCTAAGGATGTTAACGTTTTGTACAATGATATAATAAAAAAATGACACACATTGCTAGTTCACTACGTATAAAAAAAGTTATCATCGTTGCTTTCAATCGAATAGAAAGGATGAAATTGCATTTTTTTTTAGAAAATTAAGGAATCAAATAAAATCTTTTAATAATAGAGGGACAAAATTGAATAAATAAAAAATGAGCAATCAAAATAGTAATTAACATTTTGTACGTGTAGTAAATTTACTTACATATTAACTTGTGGGAAGTTATATTACTAATGCAAAATGATATTTAAAACACTTTTCTAAATTATAATAATATGATAGTTTTCTATGCTTTATAGTTCAACAACTATAGTAATGGAAGACATAATCTAACTACTTTAGATTAACATACAAACAATACTTTGATATACGTACAATAATAAATACATGTGTAAAGATTTCATCAATAATTGAGATAGTAAAATAAAATCCTTCACCAAGATTGCAAATATAACTGTATAGGCATATAAATATAATAAACTGGTATTGAAAGCATAACCTAGGTTACTGGTCAAACAACAATACAAAATAGCTACTCTAGGGTAGCACCAAAATAACTCTTACATCCTTCAACATGACCCTCTATATGTACTTCTCCTCCAACCTATTATTGTCATACTCTCATACCAAGTATGATCATTAGAATTTAACTACAAAAAAACATGTGAGAGTAAACTTACAAAAGACAACACAACAATATAGAGGTAAAGTACAACTTTCAACATACCAACACAACATATAAATCATGCCATACAACTCATGCATGTTTTTCAACTTAAACAATACAACCACATTTACTAGAGGTCTCTTTACAACATAACTCCCCTACTATTGAGGAGGTTTATCATAAGGTCTCCTCTATTGGTTGCCTCATTTAGACCCAAATGGTCCCTCTTAAACCTTGATCACCCTCTTCCACCCTTCAACCTCTCCATAATCTTTGTCTTCTCCACTAAAGTGAAAAACTCTATGATACCCATAAACACCAACACCTTCTTCAACTAGTGTCGCAGACTGTCATTAAACTTTTCTACACCTTTATTAGCCTCATAAATGGTATGGAATGAAAAAGGGCTAGAAGCTCAAATTTCATAACATACTCTATAACACTCATGCTCCCCTACACTCAAAATATATTCTCCATCTCATTGACCTATTGGTCAGCCACTTCTGAACTAACCACACCCTTGAATTGAGGAGGATTACACTTCTTAAACTTCGTCAATTCTCCACATTCCTGAGACACTAGTGGTTTAGCTACTTTAGCTATAGCCCAATTTGCTTCCATCTAAGAAAAATTGGCATTTTATTGTTGCATAGTCACATCCATCATCTTCATGCCGCTAGCTATTTGGTCATATTGGGATCTAATTAATCATCCTATACTATGATCAATAATTCCAAAAACAACATTGTTCAACAACTACACAACACAACAGGACATTTACAATAGAAACATAATGGGATCACCTCCACGAAGCATCCAAAAGACTTGATTGACTCTAGTACCATAAAAATGTAACGACTAACAAGTACTTACACTTTATAACTCAATTAAAACTCATAAAAAAATCTTGAATCCTTAAAATTTTACAATTAATAAATTACTAATCACAACATCAATTAAATAAATAAAAAATAAGCAATTAATAATACAATTCACAAAAAAAAAATCACAGCATTACATATAATATTTTTTACATTGATTGTTACGCAAGTGATATAAAAAATGTTGTGATGACATTTTGTAGTTTAAAATATATTTTTTTTACATCTATTTTAAAATAAGGTTCAAATTATAATCGATGTAAAAGTGAATGTTTTTCATTTATTCCAACAATAATTGACATGGTATGAGTTTTTTTTTTATCTGCGAGAATCAAACCGGTACTATAGTTTACAACACTCACTTAATCTATGTAACCAAGTGAGTTAAATTCTCTTTGTGATGTATTATAACTTTGAATTTTGAAAAACTTCCAGAAATATTAACATCCGTCTTTAAAATTTTGATTTACTTTCCAAGACAACCACTTGAGAAAGATTAAAGTTTTTCTAGAGTCCAGACACTTTTTGTTGAGGGAGTGTGGCGAGGTGAGTAATGTTTATCCTTGGTACTGTTTTCCGCCGGGGTTGGGTGCAGGATAGCACAAAAGGGTGGGTCTCAGGGTAGCACGTCGTGGCAGAATGGGAAGGAACGTTAAACTGCAAGCATTTTACTACGAAAGATGTATTATTTACATATCAATAATTGTTTAACCCAGAAGTTTCATAGATATAACACGAAGTTGAAATCCAATAATACATGAGTAGCAAAGTTAAAAAGACATTATTATGTAAGTGCAGTTTAATTTGTATACGAACATATGTATAAAAGCTTAAACCAAGTTAATAGATTTTCTTAAAATAATAAAAGAAACCCAAAACAATCAATTTTGATTTTACTTTTTTCATATACATTTATTAATTGAGTTATCATTACAACAAAATTTAGTATTACCGACAATTATTTAATAGCAATAAATTAATTGCCTCTATTTTATTATTTAATAAAAATATTAATAACTATTATATAATGATCACTAAAAATATATTTACATCACATCAAAATTTACTATTAGCGACAATTATTTGTTAGAAAAAACTTAAGTTTCACATCGACTAGAAATAAAATAATTAAAGAGTATATAAGTGAATGATAACTCTCACCTTACAAGTATATTTTATAAGGTTGAGTTAAGCCTATAACTTACTATTCTAAGTTAGTATTTAGAAGATAAGATAATTAAAAAAATTAAAGAATATATACTTAGAAGATAACCTTCATCTTCTAAGTCCCACATCAATTAGAAATAAGGTAGCTAAAGAATATTTGTACTTATCTTATAAGTCCTACATCGACTAGAAATAAGATAATTAAAGAGTATTATAAATCTTTTCTTAAACTTTTAGCGGCAATTTTAAATGTCAGTAACGAATAATACAAAAAATTATACACTTTTCTTGATCATTATGAGAGTCTTTACCAACATATAGAATAATTGCCGATAAATATTTTAGTGACACTGTATACAATGACTAATGTGTGAAATGCCGATAAAAGATTTTATAACAATTTTCATTGTCACTAAAAATCTATATTTTATTGTAGTGTATGAACACTTCAAACTTATCAAAGTTGATTAACTTTATTTTTTCTTAAACAATTTTGCTATGGTTTGCAGACCAAAATTGTCCACATGTGTCACACCATTATCTACTGTGAGAAAACCTGTTGTTTGTCAGCAAAGAGCTGATTCCGGATCTCTGGTAATGGATTGCCCTGCTTAATTGGGTCCCTACTTAGCAAGTCCAAGACACCATGATCATGGTAGTAGTGGTAGATAGAAGACACATTTTTTTTTTTCTCTTTTCTTTTTTGATATATATTTAAACGTAATTTACGAGCTTACTTAGTAACATTCAAATTGCATAATATTTTTTCCATTATGGATATTTTAACAATTTAACCACAATTTTCTTTTGATTGATTAGTGCTACTGTTAAGGAGTTAAAAATGGTTGTTATCAATTAGAACTAGCTTAATTGTGATTCAATTCTCGAGGATTTGTATAGTCATACTAGTTAGAGCTAGCATTAGCAATGACACATCACATGTTTGTTTCCAAGTTAGAGCCCCATTAGGAAGAAAAAGTTGCATCTGGATCCCACTAGAATGTGTCAAAGGGCCTACATGTGCCTGTGGGCTATCACTTCATTAGATGGTACAACTAATTAGTATTAATATATATAATCTACATAATATATATATGCATGGAAAGACTACGAGGTCCTCAATTTCCTATCAAAATAGTACAAAGACTTGAAAAAGTTTTTGGGGTTACTTTAGTTTTATTCGCTCTCCAATTATTCGTGGAAAAGTTATCTGTGACCATAAAAGCTGTATGGGAATTCCACAGGCATGACCCAGCACTTTCTCTTTATCCCTCTCAAATACTCATGCATGGGAAAACACAAAGCAAATCCCCACGGCTTCAACTTTATGCTACTTTACAAAAGGTCAAAAAGTTCCAATTTCCCAAAAGCAATATCTTTATGAGACACCATTCACATATTCATAAAGTAGAATTGCAATCCCTTTAATCACAACGACCATTACATTTAAAAATAATGAAATTAATTAATTAAGATCAAGTTGAATTTCACAACTTTTTATGCTCAGGAATTCTGCACACACAAAAAACAAGCAAAGGTACAGAGTGAGATCATAGTCAAAATGAAGGCTTTTACGGTTTTACCCATAGAAATTTGAAGGAAAAAAAAAAAAAAAAAAGACAATATATTCCAAGCATAGTCTGGTGTTTTGTATTTTATGACAACTCACGAGGTCTTAAGTTCAGAGATCAAAACGAAATTCAAATATTATTATAGTAAGAGGGTTTGGATACATGAGTTGTGTTGAAAATAATAAAGTACACATTTGCGTGCAAGTATGAATATGTAAACAACAATGGTGATAAAGAAAAATAGTGGTGTATGCATGAAGCCATGAACATTGAGCACTGTGATTATGTCATTCGTGTTCCCCAATGCCGCTAGCTATGTGCAGACCCTTTTTGTCTACCATTCTGATTCTGAATCAAACTTAATAGGATGCTGTAGCTAGTCTCTTCCAAATCCCTGTGCTAATGAAGACAACAAGGCAAAATAGAAAATGTTAAATAAAAAAGACCTCAACGAAATTCCTTTGTTAGTAGTTAATCATTGATTCTCATCATTGCAAGTTATTAAGCATATAATAATTAATAACAAATTAATTCAAAGCTTACTCAGTAACATTGCAGTGATATTGATCAAAAAAAGTAACATTGCAGTGATGCCTGTTGGGACAATGCTCAGTTGCTCAAACATTGACCTGCATAAATCTTTGATTCCTAACGAGGCATTGATATTTATTTGCTGTTTCTATCACGAGAGAAAGGGCTAAAATGCAGAATTTAATGTTTCCTAAACTCATGAACAAGATTCATGATCCTTAAAGGAAAAAATTAATTTGCTTTATCCTTGAAGAACTGTAATTATTATAATTAATGAAAGGAGTTTTTGTTTTCTTCTAAACCAATTGATTAATAAACATTGAAACTTAATCAGTAGAAAAGGAAGCATCTTGTACATTGATTCTTTGATTGTGCAGGAAATTAGGGTTTCAGCTATCAAATGAAATATTAAATTAAGCCAGGGAAGAATTAAACTCGTCCATTGAAAAACAACACGGTTCTGCAACACCCATAAGAAAATAAAGCCATACTTCTCAAAATTGATTCCATTCTGGATTCTGCATAACCAATGCTCAGATCTATCCATTTTAATTACAATTTGGCATGAACAGAATGACAAAGCAAACAGAAAAAGTATAGATCTGTGTGACATTACTAGACCTATACAAGGAAGGTAAATGCTACCACCTACCAACAATAAGAACAACAGATTCAAGGATCTATCAGTTTAGTATCAAATACAGATGTAGCAACAAATTTAAACGCATAATAAAGTGCAATTAAGAAACAAAAGTTTGACCACTGGGAGCAGAAGAATCTAATAAAGAGAGGGCGGAGTCTACAAGGCTCTTGTCACTATGTTCATTCCTGTAACAGATGGCACATTAAACCTCGATTTGACCACACGGTTTGACAATGGTGAAATGACTAATAATTAATAAAAGGGGTTTCATTGTTTCATCCTCTTGCTTCTTCATCTGAGACTCAGGGATCAGCTTATCACAACATAGAGATTAGAGACAGAACATAGTCCACAAAACCCTAAAGAGAGAGAGAGAGAGATAAGATGAAAAAAAAAAGGGGGGGCGAGGAGAATGAATAAGTGAGTGTCTCAAAGGTGGCCAGATCTGAGAAAACATGGCAGAAACAGACAGATCGGATGCTGGAAAACATAATTGGGAGAGGATCCGGCTAATGATGAAGAAGAGAAAAAGGTAGTTAGAGCCTGACAAGAAAAACACCATCATAACATGATCAGAGAAAAAGAAAGCAACGAAAAGGAAGTAATGATGAAAAGCTTTTGAAACGGGGTCAAAATGCTTCATCATTACACCAATCTGCAAACTACATCCAAAAACCAAACCCCACGATTCAGATCTACCCATATTTAAGAAAAAAACAAAAGTTTAAAAAGAAAACCATAGAGGAGGAGAGGAGAGGAAGCAAACCTACTATGTGGTCAACACTTTGTGTGGCTGAAAATATTTGTTGAAAGACGAGGTGAGAGTGGGAAAATACCTTGATTTGGAAGCATGGAATTGGGGGGAATGAAGCCTGGTCCGAGAACACTAAACATTTCTTGATGAAGATGAAGAAGGGTCCTCGAGCCAGACAACATTCCCCTCAAAAGACAAAGCTTCCTACTCACTACTCACTACTACTACTAGTCTCTGTATCCCCCACGAGTCTCGGCTATCTTGAAGGGAGAGAGAGAGAGAGTGAATTGAAGGGATATTGGTGGTGTGGTTGAGGGTGAATGAGAATTCTGAAAGGAGAGTAAAAATAAAGGAGGAAGAGAAAGGCAACGTCAAAAAAGACAAAAGGGTAGACCCTACCACTTGGCTACTCGCTTCTCACTACCCCATGCACCCTCTCGTTCTTATCCACCGTTCGATCTCCTCGTACGCCCCATTTCATTTTGTGAAATTCCTCTCATCCACCCTCGCTTCTTCATTCTCCACCGTTCGATCCATTCTCGCAAAACCATGCTACATCTTTATTAGGTCAATCAACTCTTAATTCATAAATACTTACTTAAATCTTTCTTCAACGTTAAAGCCAACTCTTTTCTTTTGACTTTCTTACCACTTCTAAATAATATAACTACAAATTATTATTATTATTACTATTATTATTATTATTATTATTATTATTATTATTATTAAACAAGAACATATAACTGTTGTTTGTTTTAAAAGAACGCGGAGTATTTATGTATTGTTATTAACTGTGCTTATGAATTTGGTCAATCAACGGCTGGCAATTACCTAAATGATGCTAAACTTACGCAGACACTTTCTATTTTTTAGTCAAGATTTAAATACCGCATTATAAATATTACTATTAGTTTTAATTACAATTAATACTTTTTCTTCATAATATTTAATTTTATCCTATAAATTAAAATTGAGAATAGTAAACTCTTTTAGTATAAATATGAATGCCAACAAGTTGTTGCTTCCCAAACTTGATCATATTAAGTAAATTCTCATGTTTTAATCTTGAAAATAGCAACAAGTTGAAGGAAAAATCATACTAAATAAACGGTTTTTGAGGACTCTCAAAAGACATTAGTTATTATGATATTGCTTGATACTTCGTATAAGTATCATTTATCCTATATATTAATATAAGTACTTATCCATTTATCCTATATATTAATATAAGTACTTATCTTGCACGATGGTATTTTTATATGAGAGATTTTTTTTAGATATATGTCTTTGATGAGATTTTTAAGAAATTTTTTGACTTTTAATCTATTTCAATTTATATTTGTTATATTTATTAAAATTAAAATTAATAATTTTAAAATAAAATATTAATAATTAAAAACATTTCTCTGCACAATATATATTATTTTTCACAAATATAAATTATAGTATAATTTATGCATTCAAATTATTTATTTTATAAATTTTAAATTAATATAATTTATATATTAAATATAGCATTTATTTATTTGTATAATTCATAATTTTATTTATATAAAATAAAATTTTATCATGTATAATGCACATGCTAAAATATTAGTTATTAAAAATATAAAAATTTAAACTTTCATCCAAAAAAAATTTTAGATATTATTTTTAAATTGTTATTTTTAATAATTATTTTTTAATGTGGATATTTTAAAGTAATATTTCACTTTTACTATTGAGTCATATGTCTTATCCTAATTTTATATGTCTAAACTCAAATATTTTCTTTCTCAACCAACACAAACCACTCTCCCTTTATTTTTGTCGTTTTACTGGTTGTTTATCTATTTCAACTTATATTTTTTAACTCTTTACCAAAAAAAACTTATATTTTTTAACTATATTTTTAAATTAGATCTCAAAAATTCTATATAAGATACTATAGATAATTAAAAATAAGTTTAAATATATTTTTTAACTCTGCAAAATGAGTAAGTTTTTAATTTTTTCCGTTATAATTTTTTTTGTTTTTATTTTTGTAAAATTTGAAACTATTAAGTCTGTTCTCTTATGCATTTCATATATATACAACATTTATCATACGTATTATACATATTAAAATACTGATTTTTAAGATTATACGTCAATAATTGTAAAATAAAAGGATTAAACGTCAATCTTAATTAAAAAATAATAATGACAATACTTTTAGTATTATGTTTGATTTCATTAAAAAAAATTAAGTCCTTTATCTTATGCATTAAATATACATACATAAATTGACACATGAAATATATTCTTTTGAATGTTTTTAGTTATTTTAAAATAAATATTATATGATTTTTATGTTTTTTATAAAATAATTGATATATCTTTTTTAATAAAAAAAATATTTTTTCCCCATCAAATAGTGTATACCAAATACAGTTTATAAAAGTAAACAAAAAATACTAACGAATACCTTGAAACATTAAAAAAAATGTCATTTTTTTTAAAAGAAGAATATCCATCAATTTTTTGAACGTCACGTGAATAAATATTACGCTGTATAAATAATGAAAGATCATAATAAATTTTAATAATTAACGAATGTTAATATATTAATATGATCAAAATTATATCTCTATTTTAGTTTCTGTTGCTTTGTTTCTATTAAATTAAATTTTTTTTTTTTTTACATTTTCTAATATTTTCTACTTTTCTAGTAATAGTATGGACAAGTAGTCAAAATATTTATTTTTCTAATATTTTCTAATATCTATTTTAGTTTCTAATATTTTCATCTTTCATGTTTTCTCTTTCTTTTGTTTTCCTGTCTCCTAATGCAGAGAGAGAGCGAGAGAGGGTCGGTGCTTTTCTTATTTATTTTTTAAAAAATATGAATAAATTTGAATTGGATAGAGTGTGTAAGTAATTAGTGGTGAGGAGATAATGATGTTAAAATGATGGAATGGTTAAAAGAGGAGAAGGAGTGAGTCAGAGGAGTGGTTGAGTTATGAGATGCCCGATAACAGGAAACCCTATTTATTATTATTAGCATAGGAGCAGCTGTTGTTGTTGACGTCTTATGCTTTTCAAAATTATTCAAATAATAATAATAAAGATTAAAAAAAAACCTCTCACTGTAGTACATTACTCCTCGTAAAACGTGTCTACCTTTTAAGCAAGCGAGGAATTCGAGGGTGTTACCGACACAAGGGGTCCACTTCATTTCACTCTTCTCATTTCCGTTTTACCCTTCCCTCACTCCCAATTCCTCGCCGACTTTTCCGTCTTCATCACGCTCAAATCAAATGACGCCGTTTTAACCCCAGATACGTAATTCTCATACTTAGCATCGCATTCTTTTCTTTTACATTTTCCACCTATTTCCTTTCGTCCATTAGGATTTGTTTTCTCCATGCCTTCATGGACAAAATAAAGCAAATAATCGAGATGAGTAAAGTCTTCGTTCAAATTATGATAAAGCAAGAGACATGCAAATTGACATGAATTTGCTTTTATTGGTAATAAAATATGTATATAAGTGAGGGAGTTAGGTGCTTAATAGTAGTACAATATATCTGCGGTTTTGATGATTCACATGCAAAAGTCAACACAACACAATGTCCTTTTCCAAGTCAAGCCATTCATAAAGTTCTGGGACGTTTGCTTCATCACTTCTTTGTAGCTTGGTCGGCTATTTTACTTTTACGTGTCTCTGCCCTACTTTCTGTTTTCTTTTTCTTTACTTTCTTTTCCCATCGTTGAAATTTCCAAGTTTTAGGTCTTCCAGGATTTTCCAGAGGGTTACTCTTAAAAAGCTTACATAAATTCTTTTTGGACCACCTACGCTTGGAAGTTGGAACTATATGTACCTCTAAATTACTATTTCATCACAAATTTCAAAAAATTTAAAAAAAAAATATAACCTGTGGAAATAGCTAGCGATTTTTCACAGGACTGTTTGAATTTCTGTATCCTTTACTTGAATATCATTCTGTTTTTAATTTTAATGTTTCTTGCTAATTACTAGTAACTACACTTATTCGTGCGAATTCATTTGCAATTACACCACGTGCTTCATAGGATAGACAAGGGTCCTGGTGACAATGGAAAATGTCATTTAATTTAGTTATGGGGCCGCAAAATTCTAACCAAAGTCAATGCAAATCATATGTGAATGATTTGCCAATTAAAAAAAGGCTTTAGGTAACCTAACTCACTGTTGCTGATTAAATTATATAAATCCGTATTCTTTCCTTTTACTATTTAACATGCAAATAACATGATGAGAGTCTTTCATCATGGTACAATTGGTTAAATTTCTCACTTCTACGAAATTAAAATTTGAGATTAAATTCAATTTTCTTTACGTTTTATATTTTTCAATACAGACTTAACAAAAGATAGAATAAAAAATTTGAAATTTCACTGAAAAATATTTAAATAAGTTGCATAAGGTCTGTCTTGCTTTAATTTAAACTTCTTGTAACAAAAACAAAAGAAAATAACATGAGAGAAAATACGTAAGTCTAGCTTATTAATTTCATTAATAGTATATTTTATATATATATATAACATGATATGGTTTCATTAATAAGTGAATTGAAAATTCTTAAATTAAAATTACACGCAGTTCTGTGTTTGCTAATATGGACAAAACAAACATATTTAATTTGTAATTGAGATATATATATAACAACGAGGTTACCGGAATCCAATGGAGTCTTTGCTGTAACCCTAAATCGAAATTAGTTAGTGAAATCAGCTACTTAACCTACTTTATACAAAAGTAAGCTAGGAAAATGCATAGTAGTACCCCCACACCTCACCCACCCCCACCATCCAACAAGACAAGAAGCAAGAAACCAAAAACATCGTGCATGCACTTATTGGTAGTATAAATGTCAGAAAAAGATTCTTAATTTTTATTAAGTCAATGTAAATTGAACTTGACCAATAAATAAACTACAACATCTATGCTCAATATAAATAAGCAACACTTTACCCTAAAAAAAACAAAAGCATTACTTAATACAAAATGTAAAGAAACCAAATTGCCTTACATTATTTAAACCTTTAATTTTTCTTGGCAACATGGTCATAATTAAATTAAGTATGATTTCTAATTACTATGATATATAGTTGAACATTTTAAACAAAATATCTAGGCCCAAGTTCAACCGAACAAGAAGAACGCAAAGTTGAAGCATGAATTATAAATTAAAAATGTTAACTTGAATCATCGAAACAACGAGAAATGAAAGACATAATATATATGTATCCGAGCAAGAGGAACTGGAACAAGAATGACTTAAAGACAGAAAGGCACAGTTGAAATTGGAAACATGGGAGCACACGG